AGTCTGAAGACATTCTCCAATATCAGCACAAAAACAGCACATGGAAAACACAAAATGTGATTCTGAAGGCAGATAAAAACCTGTTCAGCCACATGATTCTGGTGGCTGAAAGCAGGAAGGTGAATATGAAGGATGTCCTTGCCCACCCACTGGGCCCACTGTCATGGGCACTGGCAAATGCTGATGGGTCCCTACGAAAAACAAACAAGGCTGCACTTGCCAGAGAGCTTGAAAAGAATGTGTCTCCTGCAGAAGACATCCCAACCCCATCTACTTCCATCATTGATGGGATGAGTCTGGTCCAAACAATGAACGTCAACGACAAAACCTTTGCCACAGGTGGCAGAGTCAGCCTTGACCCAGGTCCTCCACGAGGGGGCACAGAGTGAGAGGATTGATGTTGTCTTTGATGTCTACCGACAGACTTCGATCAAAGATGCTGAACGACTGATCTGAGGTGCAGACACCACTCTCCAGTACAAGAACCTTGCAGGGGGACACCACGTCCAGCAGTGGAGAAAATTCCTGTGCAGGCCCTCCAACAAGACCAGTCTCATCAAGTTTCTGGTGGAAGAGTGGAAACTCCCACGATACAGGGAGATCCTGCATGGCAAGGTGTTGACATGACCTGTGAGGAAACCTGCTACAAGTTGACAGAAGATGAGTGTGAGGAAGTAGCAGAGCTGCACTCCACGCATGGAGAAGCTGACACCCGTCTGCTGCTGCATGCATTGCATGCAACAAACGTGAGCTCAACGGCAGTTATCATCACAGCTGGGGACACTGATGTCATGGTGATTTGTCTTGGCTTCCAGAAGGACATCACCTGTCCGATCCACCAGAAATGTGGGACACAGAACCGCACACGGGTTGTCGATATCAGCAAACTGACAAGGTCCTTCGGAGACAGCATCTGTGGCAGCCTAATTGGCTTACACGCCTTCACAGGCTGCGACACTGTCAGTGCATTCGCCGGTTGAGGGAAGCTGAATGCCCTGAGGATGGTGAGAAAAGACACTTCCTGCCAAGAGACTTTTAGTTGACTGGGGCAGTCATGGAATGTGAGTGATGAGCTGTTCCAGAAAATTGAGCAGTTCACCTGTCGCATGTACGCTGCTAATAGCAGCACTGGTGAGGTGAACGAACTGCGCTACACCAGCTCTTCTGCACCAAAAGGGGAGAAGTCGAGTTCAGCCAGCTGCCACCATGTAGAGATTGTCTCTCTTCATGCATGTTCAACGAGCCAACTATCAGGCAGCAATCTGGCAGTGCTGTCTGCAGGCTAACCCTGTGGTGCCAAGCCCTACTTAGTATGGATGGACAGACGATGATGGCAAGCCGGCCATTTGAATCGATTGGCGGTGACCCGGGGGTGCCAAAACCTCCATAACTCCGAAACCAGAAGGCCTATGAAGACGGGAGATGTCACTGAGCCCGATACGCACGCCAAATATGAAAATAAAAAACACATGCAAAACACCCATAAAAAAGGGGGCTGCTGGGGATTTGTGCGTGGCAACGGCTGTTTATTGCTTGTTTTGAAAGTACATCAGGATGCTGGTCTGGTCATTTCCCAGCACGTTCTGCTTCTTACGGGGGCGGCCACCCCCTTGTCTTTGGGAGCAAGACCACTTGGAGGCAATGGCGCACCAGGCGCTCTCTCGGTACGGCCGGCGGTCACGGTCGTGCTGGTGGGATCGACATCGTCGTCGTCATCATCGCTCCCAGCGTCGCCCTCCGGCAGGACAGCGATGCTCCCAGAAAGAAAAAAAAAACCTTAAACTATGCCCGGCCCACCAATATTTTGCGGTGACCCGGGCTATCGCCAATCGATTCATTTACTGGATGCGCTCCCCACCCGCACCAGAAGTGGTCTTGGAACTGCTAGCATGCAAGTGTGTGCGTTCATGCAAAATACCAAGCTGTACGTGCCTGTCAAATGGACTGACATGCACAGACATGTGCAGGCTACAGAGCTGCAGTCACCAAAGACTGCAGGATGATCCAGAACCTGACCTTGAACTCGTGAAGTCAGATGACGAGATCGACGAGCAGTTTGAGTGACACAGGGTGGTGATTCTGATTATATTACTGTGGTAGTAGTATACATTGATGCATAGTGTGGTGATTCTGGACTTTGATACCCTTATTAACACCATTGACGAAGTATATACGAATGTCAATGTTTATAATATTCAAGTATTTCCTTACCTCACTATGGTATTCCTCATTATCCTGTGTTTTCATTGTGTATTTAAACCAATAAAGACCAGTTTGTGACCTAACTGGCTTTCGTCTAGGTAGTTTTTCAGTAATAATGCCCATTTCATCGTTCCGGACGCCTGTCATAGGGTGTGGGTATAAAAGTCATGGTAACTACAACTAAGCTGCCACTCTGCAAAGGCTATCATATCAGATTATGTCCCACACACATGGAGGATTACAAAAATCATGACTAGACTTTGCCACCTCAGGTGGTACCAATAAGTGATTTTTTTTGGTCTGCACCCATGGACTTGCTGGGCTTTCTCCAGAAAATCAAACATTACATGACATCGGGAGATGTACTGATAACAACCAACACGAATGCTATTTGTCTGGGTTTCCGAAATTAAGTTCCCACGTCACAGATTGATCTTGTGTACTGTATATATATTTAAATGGATTTAGTTACTATAATTACAATCAGCCGGGGTTAAACTGCTGCCGGGTTAAGGTATCCCCAAGCCATTTCCATCTCGCACAGTTCTGTGATAAAACAATCCACCAAACACCTGCACACGAGTTGACGTCATTTCTCCATCCCCATTATGCACGCTCCTCTCAGTTTCAGTTTTCAGTTCCATTTATTTGGTATAGCCCTGTGAGCCATTCGGCTCTTGAATCGGGTGCAACCGCAACAAACAAAAAACTAAAACATGAACAAGAAAAATATCTTAAAGTGACTATGTGACTGTGCAAACAGAAAATCCAGGAAAAAAACAGCAAAATATTCCTGAAAAAGCACCGTACACCAAAGCTGTGTGCCAAAAATCCCAGTGGGATGCAAGTCAAACAACAACAACCACAAGACAAGTTAGATTAAGGCCATCAGTCTAACTCTGTACTACAAGAAACAAAACATGGCCAAACCAAAAAACTTTTCGAAATCACCAAAATAAAGCCATAAATGCGTTCTCTTCCTTGGCCATCCCTCCGCCGCTAGTCTCGACCACCAGCGCACCATCCCTTCCGGCAAACTGAGTTACACATGCCCCCTTCTCTTGACATTGATCATGATCTGCGCATGTTCTCTAATCCGCGCGTTCCTCTTTCTGTGTCTCAAAGTAATTGCAAGCGTACACATCTCCAAGATTCTTTGCGCATTTTTCAGTTTTTGTTTCATTTTTGTTATCAAGTTCCACGTTATGAGCAATGTCGTGCCATGAAATATGGACTGATTAACACATTCTATGTTTTTCATTAGTTGGTTTAGTTTTACAAAAGCACTCCAACCTGCTCTTGGTCTGGTTCTTTGTTACATTATATTTTCCCTGGTCTGTCCTCAAACGCTGTCCTATGAATACCTATTCTGCTGTGTTTTCCGGCTGTGTTCCTCCAACAGACATCTCCGATTATCAGCGAACTTGTCGTACATAGCCTTCGTTTTCCTGATGTTTATCTTCAACCAAACTTGGCAATGCTCTTGTTGATAAAAAGCAACAACTAGAATTCTACAATGAGGTGGTTCAGCCAGACAATTGCGTCAGGAGTAGTGGAGTGTATAGCTGTGATGCCTCCTTCGATTTTTTTAATGGCTCAATTAGGGTGCCACTCAAAATTAAAGTTTGATATCTTCAAAGGCACGTATCCTAGGTTTTATTAATTTGCTTGTTAATCTGAAGCACTGCGAGTTTAAAGGAAATCCCCCCAAAAATATACTTGATGATCATTTATAACAGCATATACAACATGGTCCAGATAAATGTCACTACGAATTCTTTGGACAATGTTGGACTTCTTTGCGTCCGGATATTACCGACGATGCTTCTCCAACACTCAAAGAAGGAACTGTTTCTGTTCCTCCTGGTTTCTGAGGGCTGTGTTGAACGACTGAGTCATAGTATTGAACTACTTTATAGACAAATATACAAATAAAAAGGCAAGCTCCTGAGGAACCTTTAAATGTTAACATATTAGAATTACATTACACCAAAAGTAATACATTGAAAAGGTGTGCTTTTCTTAGTAAACAAGGGTGCTAATCGGAGGTGCGGGGACCCCTTCAATGGAGGAATAGAAAAGTTACACGAATTCTCGACGTTATCACTTAGCTCATGAACATATCGCCATACACAATAGAATATTGAGTTACTCTGACATTTCCTGGAGCCCGATCCCATTGAATGCTATAATGACTTTGTCATCAGCAAATCTGATGGTTAATATTTTTGTTTGTGGTGCTAACGTTAAGAAAAAAAAACGCCACTTTTTTCAAAATTTTCTTGCTGTGGTTTTCACATGTGATGATGATTGCTTTGTGTTGCAGTCGAAACGTCGTGATAATTTTATTGTTTTATATTTTTATTATTTTATTGTTTCCCTTCTACGTGACTTCACCGAAAAAAACAAGAATATGAATCCCTTCAGTCACGAAAGCTTAAAATAAATAAAAAAACTAAGCTTTTGTTTCTGCATTGCAATAGCGTGCAGTATGCAGAGTTAAGGTAAGTATAAACTCATCATATACTTACTTCTTGATGCACATTGGTATCTTGCTCTTCATTATCAGGTAAACAATAATTCCAAAAACCCTCAAACTTGTTCTCGCCTCCTCCGCTTCTAATATTTAATAAAGGCTATCTCATGAAGGGGGTGATAATAAAAGCAGGTAATACATAAACGCACAATGATAACAGCAAAAACACTTCCTTTAAACTACTTTGTTGTGTAAAAACCTGTGCCCGTCTCGTCTGTCTCTTATATAAATCACGGAAATAATTACGATGGTGAAAACTTACCCGTCGCCAACAACGATGCATTTCATCTCCTGCATGTCGAGTTGACCATGAGTCCCCAACTGAGTTCACAGACACACAGACCCGTGGTTTTTAAATCTATTGTTAGACCAGTTCTCAAGAATAGAGAGACGCACCTCCCAGGGCTTGTCCGGCACTCCCAGGAGGGGTGGAACTATTCAATTTCATGAATTAGCGCGTTTTAAAAAAAAATCTTGTTCTTACAATCTCTGTTTTGTTTCTACGGGGAGTTTTTTTTTCCAGCTTGAATTTTTTTTACCTCTCCGATGAGTTATCGGCTTGCTGTGAATCATAATTATTATCATTATGACTACGCTTGTTTACTGAGAAAAGCCTCGCAGAGTCTCAAGAGAATAATTTCCAGGAAGGTCCTGGCAAGTTTCGAAGTAGGAGACGATGTTGCTGTGATTGATCCCGATCATGTAATTTGCAGGGAAATGTTGACCAAAAACAATTACAATGTATTCTTGGTTCTTTCGGTAAAGTCACGCTGTCGGAAAGACAGCGTCCGACAGCTCTGTTCTTCACCTGAGGAAGGATGCTTGCGTTGTGGCCGAAACGTCGTGAGAATTTTATTTTATTGTTTTTTTTTATTTCCCTTCTACGTGACTTTACCGAAAGAACCAAGAATATGAATCCCTGCAGTCACGAAAGCTTTAAATCGAAAAACTACAATGTATTTTATTTTTGCATCCGTTCCACATGTGTCGTGTGTTTCGCTCCACGTGCCGGGATCTTTTTTTGCAGGAAACGGAATCGAGTATCTACACTTGATGTTGAACTTCTTTTCATAGCCAACCGTGCTAATCGGAGGTGCGGGTGAAGGACAACAAACTAAACACAAAAAAGCAGTTCTAAAGAAATTAGTTTTCACTCTACATTTTAAAGTGCATAGCTCATGGAAGAGCGTTCCAGACGGCCGCAGAAGTGCATCGGAAAGCGCGCGATGCGGTGACCACCGTTTTTGTTCGATGGCTGTAGCCAAAAGTCGCTGCTGCTGCGATGATGACCAGAGTCCGTGTGGTGGTTTAGGCTCCTTATCACTCTAATTTTATTGTATAGCGTTGCCGGCTGCTGCTTGCGTCTGATGCAGGCGAGTTGTGTTGTTTAACCGGGTGGTGAGAAATCAGGAGACCAGGATAGGAGTTTCATCTGCAAGAGTGACCTGGATGGCTAACATGACAAAATCCGAGGAAGAAAATAAAATACGGCAATTAAAGTAAATACAAATCAGAACAGATTAAAACAACTGTGTCACATGAGAAATTTCAAATATTGCAAATGCAGAAATCAATATTAACGATTACATTGCCTGTAAACGTTAACCGGCTTCGGCAGATTATTTCAATGCTGAACATCTCACAATAATAATTAAGTAACAGATAGTGTACATCATTTGTTCACTCGAGAGAAAAAAATATACCGACTAAGGATTGGAACGCTTCCAAGAAAGAGGACGGCGGAGCAGGAAAACTGCTGGAGCTGAGTGAATGATTAACATCGCGACACTGCGAGAGATTGCGGAGATTTGGGAGGCTTTCATCCAGCAGTGGATTCACCATGGATGTTGATGAGCAGATAGATTGTTTGGTGACACTGCATTGGCAATGGTGAACACGTACAAATAACATAATAAGCTTAACAGTGGCCTTAAAAGAAAATAAACAAACAAAAAAAACATCCCAGGCGACGTTTCGGGCAATGACCCTTCTGCAGAGCACGTGTTCTTTGAAGGAAGGCCAGTGGTGGTTAGTGACCAAAAGCGTCGAATTGTATCGCAAACGTTGACCTCATCGCAGACGGGGGCGCGGTCTAATACACCGAGGCGGGGCCTCCCGCACGGGGCGTGGCTACACTCAACAGAGCCCCGCCCCCCGCGCCCGGCTCTAGGCGTCGGCTCGCAACCTCCGCTCCGTGGGCGGATGAGTGCGACTCATTGACTGCTCCGCGGTTTTTTGCTCTTCAAAACACGTAACGCTTAATTCTGCTTGGATTTCCCTCTCCCCCCCTTCCACTTAAAAGTAAGGAGCAAGAACGCAGGCAAGATGCAGGCGATTAAGTGCGTCGTCGTGGGAGACGGGTGAGTGCGGTGCGGTTTAACTCCGGCCTGGTTAGGGCCTTGTGCGGGCTGCAGCCTCGGTTTCGCCTAAGCTTCCCTCCACGAGCGAGCGGCTCGGGGCGGTAGGGGCTACGAGGCAAGTGATGAGGGGCCTAAGAAGGGCGCGGCCCAGCGAGCGGGGTCTTTTTTTTGTTGTTTTAAAGGTTATGCGTGGTTTATGTTTATGCACTGAATTGTATCGTGTGCCCGTGTTCAAGTGTGTTGCGTGGACTGTATTACATTTTTTTCTATGTTGTATAATGTATGTGCGTGTGTTAGTGTCCCATGTGTGTATTGTATGTGTACTGTGTATCTGGGTGCTGGTTGTGTTGTGTGCCTATTCCATATGTTGTGTCTTTTATGTCTTGTATGTCTTTGTTCCATATATTTTTGTTGAGTTGATCGTGTTTGTGTCTTCACATATTGAATGGCAGTTGTATGTGTGTAGAGAGCTGTGTGTGACATTGATCCCAGGTTCCAGTCTTGGCCAGGATCACCGCTGGAATGTATTTCAATATTTCCCGGATCTTTAGCTAGATTTATATTTTAACATTCGCCCGGCTCGGCCGCAAGCCAGATTCGGATGTGTTTTGATGCCGGGGTATCGTGGTTTGGTTCCGCACGGCAATTGGCCATTAGAAAACCTCACACCCATGAGTGTCCTGTGCTGGCTTGGCTCGCATGTGCCAGTGGAACAGGAGTATATGTGAGAAAGAAGGCCTCAGAACCCATCGGTCAGGTAAAGGTTACCATGGAAAACTGGGCCAAGCCTTGTTGCCTGGTTCATGAACCAAACCAGCTTGCTTCACATTGCCTGTAAAATGCAGTGTAAATAATTACCTGGCTTTGGTGCGCGTGTGTGCTGTAACACTGTCTTAATGGGTGCGCTTCTGTAGCACCATTTGCCTCAATGTATTGCATGTTCTCCAACAGAGCCGTTGGTAAGACGTGTCTCCTCATCAGCTACACGACGAACGCCTTCCCGGGAGAGTACATCCCCACTGTGTATGTATCCTGCTGCGCTTTCATCATAATGTATCACAAGCTAATAGTTAGTGTAATGGTAAGCATGAATGTCTCTAAAGCAAATTTCAAAGTGAAGCTTCCTTCCCCAATAAGTTTTACAGCCCTTTGTCAATTGACTACTGGGGTTATGCAGGTCGTGGGGGTTGTTTGTTCTTACATTACCGTGTTGGTCAGTGTGGGTTACGGTCCAAAGTGAGGAGCATTGTTAAAATATTTTAAACCATTTCCGAGGTGTAGGGATTTGTGCTATTTCTGAATACAATAGACCAAATTACAAAAAAAATCAGTAAACTTGAAGTTTCAAAACTAAGCGTTATTAAAGGGCAAGGCGAAGAGATTATCACAGCCATTGCCATTAATTAATGTCACCACATGGGATCTTAGAACTGCTGCAAAGCCAAATATTGACCTTTAAAATCTGATCTTGAAGTCTTCCACCATTTGGCTTTGGGTCTTTCACTTGCGCACATACTTATGTGCCTACTCATATGCTTGTCTCGGTAACCTGTGCACCCAACATCCTCTTCATGCACCTGAATACAACACTTCTCTACTCTTCCAAAGTGCTATATATTTAGTCCATTTAAACTTTACCCTCTTAATTATTGAGAAAATTATCTTCATCTCCACAGTCACCTGTGATGGATTTAGGTACAGCATGTTTTTTTTTCCACTGCTGGATGAAGTTCCTTCCAACACCTTGTCAGTCATGGATTGTTGTTTGATCTTGCTTCACATTGGTCAGTGCATAATCGCAATCACTACATAAATGTGCAATCCTCTTACCTCATTATTCTCACTTCCTATTGACAATTGTGATAAAAATGTTAGAGGATTATCCCTTACCACCACCATCAGCTTAATTTTTAACAACTCATCCTAGGTTTCCAGTATCCAGCCAGCCTCATTACCATAACCTGAGCATTGTCTGCATGGATTCTGTCGGGGAGACATGATGTGGTGGCTGGTAAGGCAATGAAGAGTTGTTAATCCTCTCCCAATATTGTGGCTGCCTTTGACCCACTAAGATCATCCTCTGCCATTGATAATGTGACTCGCTATCCTTTTGTGGCATAATCACTACTGAAGACTAATCTACTTGAGGTAGATATGCCACTTTGTTATCCTACACCCTAGACCAGAGGCCCTTTAAGCAGCACTTTAATACAACTCCTGCTCATGATGTTTCCCTTCTCCCCAATTATGATGCAGGGGTTGGATTCTAGCCGTTAAATATCCCACTGCTGAGCAAAGATCTCCCCAAGTGTATTACACTCTTCAGTCTCTTGCCACCTCCATCCAGTGCGTTTCTCCAAACATCTAATCTCATCCCTCAATCAATTTTTTGCCATGGACCATATCCCAGATATATAGGTGTTATCAGCATAAGATTCACACGTTATGGCCGACAATTTGTAAACGTCTGAAGGTCTAAGTGTGTTGGCATGTTGACACGTTCTTTTTTGTTGACAGATAATGGGTTATTGCCTCTGAAGGTGGACATCTTTGATTTGTGTCAAGTGGAAAATTCATTAAATGAATGCCAGCTAGCAACTGCGTGTTTCTGATATATGAAAATTGTATACAGCATAAAATACAATGGTATTGTCCGTTTAACACGTAGGCTTTCGCGACCAATATCATCCATAATACACAAATCTGGCTGCCGCCTGAAAATGCTGGTTGTAATTACTGGCGAAACGTCGTACTCAGATTGTAAATGTTGTGGATTTGCTCTCCAACACACGATCTAACAAAATAGCCTGTATTATGGACAATGGTATTGATAGTAATATCGGTGCTTTCTAGTGTGGGTGTAGTGATGCATCAGTTCCTGTTTACATGAGAAACCTTACTAATTGGCTGTGTCAGGTGGTGGCGGGTTTAACGGCACATTTATATCTTGACTTAAAGCTTTCGTGACTGCAGGAATTCATATTCTTGGGTCTTTCGGTAAAGCCACGTGACTTTACCAAAAGACCCAAGAATAAGACATTTATATTTACACGATCTTACAAAAAAGCCTGTAATATGGACAATCGTATTGATAGTAATATCGGTGCTTTCTAGTGTGAGTGTAGTGATGCATCAGTTACTTGATTAATATACATTCTTAAGCTTACCATCCGTGTATTGAATTAGGTGTAAGAATCAACAATGTGCGATTTGTATAATATTGTGTTGTAATGGGTTCATGTGAGCCGCTACAGCCACTCGAGGCCATTACACAACAATGTTAAAGAATATATGTTTAAGTTGAATCGTGATCTAGAATCATAATTGTTCAATTTAGAGGGGAGAATCATTACTCATCAATTTTAATCACGGAGTGGTTTCTCCATGCAGTTTTAAAATAAGCACAACCTCACTCTTGAATGATGTAAGTTATATTACATTTGAAGCATCGCCTTGCGGCTGTGCTGCTTTAATGTCACAGCTGCTTCTGGGTTCTGCCTAGGCTGGAGGCAACGGTACAGACATATTTAGCAGGGGGACAGGCACATCGAGAGATGGAAGAAATGAGCCATGGGGTGCAGAGCAGGTAGGGTGAAGGTTCACCCAAAGCCATTTTAACGATAAATACAGCCCTATGCAGATTAGGTGGAGAGGGTCCCCAGAAACAAATACTAAGGGCAACATGGAGAGAAATAGAGATTGAGAGAGATGGACATAGGTAGACATGGAAAGATGCACGGAGACAGACAAAAGACTTGTAGAGAGATGTAGAAAGAGACATAGACGTGGAGAGACAGGCAAAATATAGCAAGACATGAAGAAACAGAGATCCAGAGAGAGATACACATAGTTACACATGCCCTACATGTGTTTTTGCTCTACAGCCACATTCCAAATGCCAAAGACCACACAGTACTGTTAGTCCACTCGTCAATTTAAGCACGTTACTCTGATTTTCATCAGTGATTTGTCTGTTCTTAGAGTGCCAGTGCTAAAAAATATATGGAAGACACCCTGTCAAAACTTAGCCATAGGCTCTTGCCTATAGCCTGGGGAGAAGGGATGCACACCCTTTTCACAAGTGTGCCCCTAACGCTCTAGGCTAGACATTGAAAGCTGTGCCCACTCGGGTTGCCGTGTGGACAGACTGCCCTCTGTCGCGATCTATTCCAGCCGATTCACTTAAATATGGTCATTAAATGGGGGCATTGGCAAGCTTTCCTTGAGGGAACTAAACTCGGGTGGTAAACATTTTGGAGGGGATGGGTATTGGATAGAGGTGGTTTTGGTTAAATCCACTCAAAAAATAGCCAGCTTCTACGACACTTACAGGCTGCCTTTTGTCTGCAAAAACTGTAACACCAGAGTTTTTACTTTCATAGACACAAAAGAATACACACATTTTACAGGCTTGCCTTAGATTTTGTAAAGTATCTTATATCTTTACAAAATGTAAATGCACCTGTACACTCCTTTTGTCATAAGACTGCTGGATCAGGGCCATGCCATTTGGGCTATCAGGGTTATTTGACCCTACTTCACAGCGCTGGTCAGTGTGGATTGAACGTGAGGAGCATATATGTGGAAGCATAGAAGTACAGTACAATAATGGATTTGTTTTTGCTGCCCTGTGAAGCCCACAATGTAGCCCTGCATCTTGGCAGCGTAGTTTGGAATTAAGGAGTAATTTTAATTTGCTGGTATACATGTATGATGATCGAATAATATTGTCGTGTAGGTCAGCAGAGTGAAGGTGAATTTACTAAAATTGTGTGATTAAGCATAGTTATATGGATACTTCAGAGGAAAGTTTTAGACAGTAGGAGCAGCTCAACACAGGAATATCTATCGTGGATTTAAAGACGATCCGTGGAAGATTGTAAAGGTGATTAAAGGCCATGCAATATTATTATAAGGGATGATGGTCAGTGGTCGAGACAAACCACAGTGGCGGGCAAAGGATGGGATATGCATTAAAGGATGTCCACCACGGCGATAAAATCATCTCGTGTGTGTCAGATTTAAAGATTGGATTGTTGCATCACGAGACCCTGAGAGATGACAGCAGCTTGGAGGTTGCATTCATCCATAAGTACATAGCTAATGTTTGATTAATTATTGTTTAAACCTGAAATTGATCAATTCATTGGCATGTACCAATAATATCTTTGTAAACTTGACAATCTTGTTGGGTGGTGGATTGTTCATGACAAGAATTCTGTCGTAAAACTACTACGTGGCCTAACCCAAAAACAAATGTAGATTACAGTATTGGCTATGACAAACCAACGTTTTAAGTCGACTATCGATATCCGTGGATGGATTATCTTGGTTGCAAATTAACGGTGCATGCAAAATGAACCCGACAAGCAAGCTGATCCTTGTGATTGTGTACAGCAGCTCGTATTCCCTGGTAGTTGTCTAATAAAGGAGGGGGGCGGCTGTTTGTGCTGACCGCACAGATTTGACAACTACTCTGCGAACGTGATGGTGGATGGCAAGCCGGTGAACCTCGGACTGTGGGACACAGCCGGACAGGAGGACTACGACCGTCTGCGTCCACTCTCATACCCTCAGACAGTGAGTTCTCTAAGTGCACACTCGTAGTAGAACTGGCTGCCCAATTAGTGAGTTCTAAGTGCACACTCGTAGCAGAACTGGTTGAATAAGATAGGAGGACGCTGGGTAGCTCTGGTGTGAAGAGCTGGCATAGCTGCGATTCTTTGTTAGAATGTGGGTTTTGGCTACCTGTGATTAAATCAAGTTCTCAAGTGTGGCGAATTGATTATCCTCAGGTGGGATACCAATGCCTGCACACACAAAAATCTGTCACATTCAATTTGGTTGTGCACTTAAATTGGCTGCACTATAGCTCTGATAATTTTTAATATCAGTTTGATTGTCATGTGACAAGCATTTCTCTGCCAGAATGGGTGGAAAAGTGGTTGCCCCATAGAGGGACCACAGGGATCTCATAAGTTGTTCTGTGATATCCACTCCGTGGACCGTTCTCTAACACGAAGGTTTGCACTGCTCTTTGAGTGATCTGAATGGATTATTTGTCTCATAACATGACACCGATAGCATAATTGGCATACCATTTAGAAAAAAAATATTTTTTTAAATGCACGTACCTGAGTTGATATTTTCCTCATCTGAACGTCGGCTCACCTAAACTGTTGCTTCGTTCATTCATTTTCAGAGATCTCCACACTTTTTTGTATACATTGCCGCACATTGTTTGAAGTGCTTATAGCTGAGTCGCAGTTGTTTCCTAGGAATTGCAGAATGAGATGTTTCCACTTGCAGGCATGTGACCAAATCACCTGAAATACACATCTCTAGAGATCTCAGAAGCCAGAGTTTTGCCTGGATAGTGCTTGGATGAGCAACCACCATGACAAATACAAGTGTTTGCTTTCTACCTTCAGTAGAGGGCAGTGCAGCAAATCCTTTTAATTGCTGTATCATGCTCCAGCATCTGTACTGCCAGTGGTGAAGCCCTCACCCAGCGGTGGGTTGACAAAAGGGCTCTACATATGGTGTCTAAATGCTTTGCAGTTATGAGACATGCGTTTTGGAAAGTGGTTATTGAAAGGATGAATAGGGTTGTGGGTTATATTATTTGAAAAATGTTGAAATTATTATAAAGCTATCGAGGCATGGGTGAGCAGTTGATACAGTATGAAGACTGACGTAAGGCAGGCAGTTAATCGTAAGGTCATCGGGTCTCTCACAGGCACAAATGGCAGCAGTGTGCAGAGTATGGGAGAGGAAATTCCAAACATCAGAGGCAACAGAGGAGCATCCCCCTATGGAGTAGAGGTCGACTGGTAGTGTTGTTTTAGGACGCCTTGGTTACTAAGTTGTACAGTTAAATGTTGTATCTTTATGGTATCTGCTTGCTATAAGTTAAATTGTTTAAGCCACGAGTGAGGACCTTTCTTGATCAGAATTTTATCAATTTATTGGCATTTATAAATAATATCTTTGTCAACTTGACAATCATGTTGGACGGTGGAGTGTTCATAACAATAATTTTGCCATAAAACTACTACATGGCCTAACCCAAAAAGGAATATGGAATACAATATTGGCTATGACAAACCTACATTTGAAGTCAACTATCAATATCCGTGGGTGGATTATCTTGGTTGCAAATTGAGGGTGCATGCAAAAAAAGCCGACAGGCAAAGCCGGTTTAATGATTAGATGCCCCTCACTCTGACTCAGTGCAGGTGTTGACGCAATTTATTTATGAAACAATAAAAACAGATGACACATTCTCGTCTTCACCACCATTCTACATAAGTAAGCAATACATGCGTTTTATAGCCTAATTTACATATTGTCCATCTACAGAGGTAATGCAGACAACTAATAAACAAACAATAGGTCTACCCTTTACACTTGTACCTCACTGCAAGAACCCCTGGGTTCGACTCTTGACTCTGGTGCCTTGCAGTGTGTGGAGTTTATATTTTCTCCCACTATTCTGCATGGGGTTCCTCGGTTCTCTGGTTTCCATCCATTTACTAAAAACAGTGTAACTAGCATTAGTTAATCATCCCAATGCTGATATTTTTTTTTTAAATTACTCGGTGATGCTTTCCTAAGTAAAAAAAAGCATAAATATATAAATACACGTATATACCGTGCCAAACACAGCAACATTACCTAAAGTAGTTTTGACCAAAACCCAAATGGAATTGGTCACAAATATTGCTTTGAGAGTCTTACACAGGAGAGTGTTCTTGGTGAATATAATAAGAGTTTAATGTGAATAGGCTTTGCTTTATCCTAAGTGTATGTTGTGGATTTGTTTTAACAGGACGTGTTCCTGATCTGCTTCTCTTTGGTGAGCCCGGCCTCCTTTGAAAACGTCCGTGCCAAAGTGAGCATGGCTACATTCACACAATCCAACTCAGGTTGTCGTGCAGTGCAGTATACACAAACACAAACCCGCAAACATAAACGCAAACAAACACACGATAACACACTTAACCCTTAATCTTTTTTCATGCAGTGGTACCCGGAGGTGCGCCACCACTGCCCCAACACCCCCATCATCCTGGTTGGCACCAAGCTCGACCTGCGGGACGACAAGGACACTGTGGAGAAGCTGCGCGAGAAGAAGCTGGCGCCCATCACCTACCCACAGGGCCTGGCCATGGCCAAAGAGATTGGTAGCGATAATGCACCATCGTGCAGCCTTTCCTGCACTTGCAATTCCCACAGTGATATGAGTTGGTGCCATTCTTCCAGCTAAAATGTTATCAAGAAGGCACTTTCTTTCAAACACGGCTATAATAGTCTTCCAATAAAGGGGTTATGTTGCCATATGGAATTACTAAAATGACTCGACAAATATAATATTCATGTAAAAAAATCACCTTTGAATTAACTGAAAATCACAAACTAATTCTGGAACGCAAAGTCCATTGCTCCAGTAATTGGCCAGTACAGGACTAAACTGGGGCTGCGTGGCATGTCTGTGCAGTTTCGATTTAAAGCTTTCGTGACTGCAATGATTCATCTTCTTTGGTTCTTTCGGTAAAGTCACGTAGAATGATAATAAAATAATAAATTGATAAAATAAAATAACACAATAATATTCTCACGACGTTTCGGCCACAACACAAGCAGCCTTCATCAGGTGAAGGGGGCGAGACTGTCTGGTAGGACAGCGCTGGAGTGAAAGAGCCACGTTCAGATACGGCCTTTAAGCTGTGTGAGAGGAACAAAGCGCCTTGACAAAGGAATTAGCATATAATTTAGCATTGAAATGGCTGAATGATTAGCTTGTGACTGGTCACAGAAATAGCTATGTTAAAAGTTAAAGCATACACACCCGCAGAGGCACCCATTGTTAAAGGGATTAGCATAGAATTTAGCATTGAAATAGCTAAGTTAAAGCATACACATCTTGACAATGGAATTAGCATAGAATTTAGCATTGAGATAGCTGAGTGGTTAGCTTGTACCTGCTGCAGAAATAGAGCTTGTACCTGCTGCAGAAATAGCTACGTTAAAGTCAGAGCATACACATTCACCGAGGCCCTTAGTACAAATCAAACAGGAGAATTTAGCATTGAAATAACTAGGCGAATCCAGCATTGAAACAACTGAGTGATTAGCTAGTGACTGGTCACAGAAATGACTACACATCTGAGCTATTCACAGTTCTATATAGTGAACCAATAAAAACTAAAATATAAATTACCTTCATGTTATCAATAAACTCTATATTCTCCAATCAGCTAAGCTACCAACAATAAGTCGTTATATATCACAATGCTATATATTTATCAATTTATTATTTTATTATCATTCTACGTGACTTTACCGAAAGAACCAAAGAAGATGTCTGTGCAGCTTGAAGTCACGGCTAAAAACAATGCAGCGTTTCTTTTCACGATGTTTTGTTTTTGAGCTTCTGGAGTGCAATTTTAAAAAGAGAAAAATATATCCCATTTTGTGTTATTTAGATGTCCCCAATACCCCTGTTATATGTGCAACATGGTATATTTGCTCACATTATCTAGAGGACACATTGTACGCACATACTCGTGCATAGTTGCAGATACATGTTAACACACATAATCTCATTGACACATCTATAATTTAATTTTGCGAGCTAAATGTTCAGTGTCATATCCATTAGTTATCAGTGTCATGCGGAAAGGCAAAGCTTTATTTTTTACCTCCGTGGACCGTTGGAGTAGCGGGGAGGAGCAGTGGAACTTTGGTTAGAGTTCTGTGCCATGAGCCCAATTTCCCAAGTTCAATTCTGGCCCCAACTAACATTGGGGAAGGGTGATTTCTGAACTGGTCCTGGGTCAACCGCCATAACTAACGCCGGGAGGATTGCATACATTAATGGATTGTCAAAGGGCTGTAAATAGGAAATATGATCAATAGACGTGTTGGTAGAATGTAATTGATGTTAACAGCAACTACTCTATTGAAGTTGGCATACTCCCAAGAACCTCAGTAGGTTTGACTGCAGATACTCCAGGGAATAAATATGCTTGTTTCCGTCTGACAGTATATTTTTATACAAATTACATTCTGTATTCTTGAAGCTGTTAATCGAGTTTTGGAATCATTCATTTGTAGGAGTTGTAGCAGGCTCATGCCTCTTCTCGTTATCATCTAATTAGATTTCCTCACATTTCAGAAACAGCTTGATGGGTTTAGAAGGCTTTTTTAAAATAAAGAACCGAGACTTTGCATTTCATATGTTTACCTTAAGGTAGCAGACTCATAATTTGGTTCTTGTGGTCACATGATCTGTTTGTGAGACTCCTCGCTTTTCTGAACATGCCACTTTTTTAAATTGGATTTTAGAAATTAATAATCATAACCTCCGTCAATAGTAAGATACTTGAGCCCATTTTTAAGTCTGCTGCTAGCCATCCGTTCTTCACATTGCTTTCGTGCAAGCAGCCAGACAAGCTTCTGGTATGTGTGAAACACTTCAACCCATGACGATTCATGAAATGTTTATTAGATTTGGTTCATTTTAGAGCAAAGATTCTGCTTTGGTAACTTGCTATTGATGTTATCGGACAGCTGCTAGAATCTTAATTGTACATTTGTATTAATTCCTAAGTTGTATAGCCACATTGATATGTTTACTGTTTGCAACTACAGTATGTCTATTACAAGTTGTGTTTTAGGCCGGAGAATTAGCTGATCTATAATATTGTAATGAGTTGTAGCAGTAGCGCTGTGGTTAGCATACTGTGTTACAAACTCAGCAACGTGTTTTGTTCCTGACCACAGTTATAAATATTGAGCGATGTCTGAATCTATTGGACCCTTCCACCGCCACCAGTCTGCACTGACCAGTGTGTTGAACTATAGTAAAAAAAAACTGCATGTAGAGGTCTTCCTCCAGCTGTGGATTTTACATACTGCTGTAAAGTCCTATCCTGTCCAGGAATGGTTCTTTATATGCACATTGCGCTGGTCCTGCTGCGTTGCTTTACCCGGTGGCTTGTGTGTGGCGTGCGAGCAGGAGCAGTTAAGTACCTGGAGTGCTCGGCGCTCACCCAGCGCGGCCTCAAGACCGTGTTTGACGAGGCCATCCGCGCCGTGCTGTGTCCCCCACCCGCCAAGAAGCGCAAGAAGAAGTGCCAGCTCCTGTAGATCGCGGCTTAACTCTCCACACTAACGACGCGCACTACGAGTGGAAGGGAGCGGACGAGCACCACTTGCGTCCAGAGGTTACCGCGAGCGTCAAGTGGTAACATTGTTTTTGGGTTGCGTTCCGGTTGGCTTCATTGTTGGGCTACATGTAGAGGCTGACACTGCAGGTGATGCTGACAAACACTATTAAAACAAAAAAAATTGCGTTCTGCGCGATATTGTTTGCAAGATATTAAAACACACACACACACACGTGCTCATTTTCTCACCGATTTAATGTGCGGCACATGTCTGGTACCTCTTCGTATCGTGTACATAACCACACCGCTTTAATTGTAGAATTTGGAGGACCACTTCTGACCAACTTGTACACGGACATAAGAGTATAATAGGGATCAATTCACCTGGCAGAAAGACCCTATTGACATTCATAATTTCTTACTATGGTGACAGAACGGAATAACAACGAGCCAGTGCTGCTGATAATCTTTATTTGAATACCAGCTGCTCGCTTAACATTAATCCAGGATCTAAAGTGTAGTGAGATCAACGGTTTCAACTTGAGCACAAATAATTCCATAAAAAACATCCGTCATATATATGACTCTCTCCTTAGCTCGCTACAAGGGCTACATTTTAAAAGGGGATCTAAAAATCAATGTTAAGCATAGAGCGGAATTAATCACCATTATTGTTGCTCACAAAAGATGTCTTTGCAACTAACCTTTAAAAAAACAAATGCAGTGTCCAGATCACAAAACACTAATAAAAATAATGTAGAAGTGATAAAATGACTGAAAAATCATCCGCATAATGGTTTTGGTGAAAGTTGAATTTTGTAAATGCTGAATGAATTGAAAAAAGTACTGCAAGATTAGGGTATGAACTGAATGTTTACAATTCGACCGTTACACTAATGGTTACAGAATTAATGTTTAAGCCGTATAACCTGCAGTTAGTAAAAGATAAACGCATTGATTGAACAGCGGTCTTTGCCGTTCCATTAAATTCTTGTTATCAGCCTTTTAAGTTTTGTATTTCCCAATTATATTTCTGTTGGTTGTTCACTTTCCGTGTTTTGTGTGGGAAGGTTAGGAATTGCATTAACGGTTCCCACCACACAAACGAAACAACGCAAAGCTTTCATCATCATCACTAACACCGGACACATTCTATTCTGGTCAATCTCGACGCCGTGTCAAGGTTTTGCCAGTCGTCTCCTGAATGCGTAGGAACGTGCAGATGAATTAATATCAGGGCGGGGGGGCATGTTTTATGGCGATGCATATTACAGTGTTACAATGCATGTGACTAGTAGACTATTGGACTGCATACGTCTAGGATTGTGAGGTTTGCTGTGAGGTGGTGTTTGTCAATCTCTTGTCGGCTTGTATGTTCACAATGCCTGGGAGAGGAAAAAACACGATTAAAAACGACCACACTACAGACACTGCAGTGGCAGCAATTATTAATAATCTTAGTTAAATTCAATGAGACACCATTTCAATAAGTTGCCACAGTACATATGTACTGAATCAGAATCACAACGGTTACATTGGAGGAATCCAATGAGCTATGAAGCTTTTTTTTTTACACATGTCCACTCTGGGCGGGTTAGCAAGTAACACGTGCAAGCAGTCTTAAGGAATTTCGCGTGATAATGCGCAATCAAGAAGCTTGTAAATCTGTCAAATGCAACTTGAAAACAGTGAATTCTTGATTGTGTGAGAATAATGACACAATGCCTTCCAAATTGCCAAATGCAGAGCGGATGAAACAGAAAGTGCAGCCTGCACCATAGACGTGTGAAGTGTTGCTGTAGATACATCCACCTTCCGTGAATACACTTCTCTTTGGAAGGTGTGAATGCCAAAAACACGTGGGTCTGGCACGATGGAAGGGGGGGCCTGCCTTTATTTTGTGGTTCGGTTTTAGTGTTTTTATTTGCTATTAACATAGTTTACCCCATATTGTTAACTTCATTATTACAGTAGTAGTCCCCCAATATCAGTCCTATAATATGTATTGTTGCTATTCGTATATTACCCAGGGCCAGCACGTTATCTTTTTATTAGTTGACAATTTTTTAAAAATATTGTATTTAAATGTACCTTTTAAAATTGTGACTAATTAAATAGAACAATGTAGCACCCTCGTATCCGTTGTGATGTCTATATAGGTATTTGGATGAGATAGGTGTTCATTTTAAACTGATATCAGACCACATTTACCTTTGTTATGGTATCCCTGTGTTTCATATGATGCAGAGTCATGGCAGTGTAGAAACTTCACCACAGGCACAATATTGTGGTGGTGAATTTTTTAGTTATCCAGTTGGTCTGGCCAGATATTGTGGTGGATTATTCCTACCTCGTCAAAGACATCTGGCAAGCTTGCACGAGTAAGCCAAAATACCCACTGTAGAGGCTCTAGAACTGTCTAGTGAACACCACTGTGCCAACATTGGCATGCAATTCCCGGGGCTGCACCTCTGTCATACAAATTGATGATCGTTGGCATAGCTACAGATCCCCTGGCTTCTGATGGTCTCGGGGTTCCAGAATCAATACGACAAATGTGATAAGTTGGACTGCTGGTTTTTTTACAGATACCGTGGCAACATCAGTACACAATATTTAAAAAAGAAATTTGCTCATAACCGATTTTAATTAAGTGGTTCCAATACATTTTGTGTGAAACTCACCGATTACCAGGCACGGATATAACAATGTTTGGCATTGTGCCGATCCCTGGTGGATACAACTACCACTGGTGGTATATTTACGTCATTTGAATACCGCAGAAGTCAAATTTGGAAGCCGTGGTAGTGACTGAAACTTCTCACGGCTCCCACTCAACTTTGCACCGCTATCATACATTATAATAGCCATATTGCTGTGTCCCCGCCGCACTCGACCACAATCGTGGCTTTCAATGTAAAAAATAGGGCCAAAGCACCCTGTGTCAAATTCTCTAGCTTCACATCTCAACACGAACACTGCCTGCTATTTTCACTGTAACGAGATGTGTGAACAAAACGGTTTTTATGGAAATCTGGTACTTAGGTGGCAAGTGTATATTTCATCTACGAGTCAATTTAATCTCGCCTCGTAGGGTTGATTTTCAGTTTGAGAGCCCCTTTTTAATTCGCCTAATTTACGTTAATGTGTTTAGGGGCAATTCGCTCTTTGTACAGACACTGGTACATTATCACTGTTCATGTTTTTCAGCACAAATAAGCTGAGCATGCTGTGTATTAAAAACGTAAACAACATTAAAAGAGGTAACCACCATGTAACGAACCATCGGTTCCTAATTTTTTATTGACCAATAATTCCCTACCCTTGAAAATGTCTTATATTCCCATTACAATTATAACAACTCGTCAGAAGTGTTATATAGCTTATGAGCAAAGTATTTAATTGGGGGGGGGGGGGGGGGGAACTAATTGTGGCATCGCCACCTGCTGGCAGGCAATACCCAGTTGCAGGTCAGCGGCGTCTACTTTGTGTCGCATAGACAGTTGCCACCGGGGATCTCCAAGGCTCGATTGTCTTCAGGCAATGGCATGGTTGAGATGATGTGACTTCGGGTGCTTTCAGATGCCGAGGTATTTCAATACCCGATAAATGAAGATCTTTACAAATAAAGTAATGGTGAGTTCATCTATAACTAATGTTGCTGACAGAAGGCAGAGCTATCGAGGAGGGAGCAATGTGGAGAAACCCCTTTCCCCCCCCTTATGTCTCATCAGATCCTCGGCACTTTCACTGATCCCTCCTAATGCTTGAGCCCCCAATGATGGTGTAAGCCCATTACACTAAACTCAGCTTAACAGGTTAGTGAGTTTTTTCAGTTTGTGTAGCGTTTTCTTTAGTCCATGGACTGCATTGCCACGTTATGCTTATGTAATATAACGCTACTTTTCCTCAATCCTCGGAACTACATTCATTAAGTGTAACTGCGTAGGAAATCGCGGTTGTGCTGTATAGCTCTCAGCGATATTTTTGGGGTTGTACCAAATGTTGTTCGGGGCGATGTCCAACTGGTTCCTGAAGAAGCTGCCAGTACGTGGAGTGAAACGTCGGACATCCTGCCGAACAACACCCAGTACAGCCCGAAAGCAAAGTGAGTGATACGCAACAGCATGTGGCTTGATAGGAAGTCTATGTCGAGGCTCCAGAAGTTTCACATGCAGAACGCCACAAAATGTAGCATTATCTTGTGAATTGTTCGTGTGCCACCTTCCTTAAACTTGGCTCCCCCATGTACAAAATAAGTGCAGTAGATCATGCACCCAACATATCTTTCTCACTCTTGTAAACAAGCCTCATAGAACCATACCTGCATGTGGTAGAATAATTCACGCAGCCCTTTCCAAAACTGCCTCGATTGTTTAAAAAAAAAATTGCGATGAAATCACATCTGCAGGGTAATTGGAAGTCCACTATTGACAACCACCGTTCCTGCTGTGCTACTTTACCACGAGCCCTGGTGACATGCTCTCTTCGAAATGAGAAACTTAAAAGTGACTTGCTGCGTACACGTTATGGCGGTCATGCTGCAATACTATCCGATGAGTTGGGGTTTTGTGCCGCGTGTTTGTTGGGTCGTGATGTCTGGATTTTGAGAACAGCGAGCTAGCGCAATTTCAGTTTTGAAGAAGCTCCCAGGACGTGAAGCGAAACGTTTGGGGACGTCATGCCGAACTAAACGCGGCACAGCCCGAAAACATGGGGGAAGAGCCGTAACACCGAGTCGATTTTAATTTGCTGTGCATTGTGGTGAGTTTAAAGGAAAATCAGACGATGCAGACATTAGCACCTTCGTGTATATTCGCTATTTGTCAAAAGGTTTTTCATTTTGTTAGTGAACGCAAGTGAACTGGTCAGGCTGCTTGTCAGATTTTTCCAGGTTCCTTAAGAAAGTGGCAAAGTGGTGTCGGTGATTTGCTACGAGCTTAGTTTCGTGTTAAACTTCTGGTGAACGAATACGCGTTTAAATGTAACTCCTAAACCCTACATATGAAGTCTTACTGTTCGTCAAAAATAAATCGTGTAATAAAATGTTAACCTCATGACTTTGGTAGTTACCCCTTAATCATGACTTTAACTTCATAAACTTTAAATATATTGATAAAACCTTATACAATTTCTAATTTGTAAACGTTACCAATAAGACATTTCTGTATGTTACTATTTTTTAGATCTATTGAAAGGTTTGTTTTGACAAATAATTCAGCTTTTCCGTGGTATATAATGACAGTTTTTGGTTTCCACTGACGCAGGTGTGCTCGTTGTCATGTAGGTCCACTGCTAATAACCACGTGTAGCATATAGCGGAGACAATGAACACCTGTTTACCTTCGTACATTGATTTGTGACTTTTAGGCGAGTAATAAAAAGTGCATGAGGAAACTGGTACAGATGTGTGTGTATTTTTGATGTTTGAATTCACATTTGTTTTCCGTAAACAATCGTGACCAAATCACCCGGAATGTGCCCGATCTTGTCAGATCTCAGAAGATGAGCAGGATTGAGCCTGAACAGTGCTTTAGTTGGCGGCCACCATGCACAACAGGATTGTTATACGCTGTTGAGAAGCTGCAGGGTGGGCAGCAGAGGGCAGTGGACCAATATAAATTGTGTCAATTATACAAGTGACCAACGGAATTACAAACCAGATATGGGCATCCATCTCACGTCTTTTTAATATATTGGCATCCATCTCACGTATTTTTAAAGTAATGTACAAGATGACGTATGCACTTAAAAGTGCAGTGATGTAAATGGAGTCACTGGCGTTTAGTGCCAGCTACTGTCACAAGAGTGGAACTGTGCGTCTTGAGCCTCTCTCTGGCACCAGAGTAGGTATGGTGACGGTCAGAGAGAGGGCAAGTAAGGATGCGACAGTCTGGGTGAACCTGGGAGGGCACGTGACCGGGACAGGGTAGCGAGGGGGCCCAAAGGGTGGCTTGAGGGACACGTGGTGCTCGGTCGAGAACCTTCTGGTGAGATCCAGAAGGGAGCGTGGCCGAGGGCGGAGCGAGGCCACGCTCGGGAGCATAAAAGGGAGGTCCCGAGAGCAATCGCGGCTGTCTGCTGGAATGGAACCCTCGGTGCTACGTCTCTTTGGTCGTCGGTCTTTGGTCATTATGCTCGGCATTGTGGATCGGCAGTGTGTCGCTGACCTGACCTGTTCATATAGTTACCCTGTCGAGGTCTAGTAACTGTGTACGTTTATGTAGAAACCCTGCTGGGGTGTTATAATAAACGTGTTGCCTCCAAGTTCAAGTGTGGGCCTCCGTAGGACCCACTACAAAAGTATGTGATAATGTGAACTAATGGGAGATCTGTGTCAGGTGTAAACAATGTTGAACACATATTCTTAGTTCTTTCGGTAAAGTCACGTTGAAGGGAAACAACAAAATAATAAAATATATATAAAACAATAAAAAATTCTCACGACGTTTCGACCATAACACAAACGGTCGTCTTCAGGTGTGTTGGTTTGCATAAATTTATTTTTAAAACGGTGCATTTATTTATTTATAAAAAACGTTAGCGCCACGCGCAGCGATTTGGCAGTTTATTTAGGACTAGTCCATCTATATTCTGAAAAGAGGAGGGGGGAGACGAATTTTTTTTTTAATGTATGCTGTCTAAAAGCCACTGTAAGCGTGAACAATCAATTAAGACCTGAAATGGTTTATCAAAACTTTCAAATGATTGCTAAGATAGAATCCATCTTCTCGGTTGAAATTGTCTCTGTGCTTGTATATGTGGATAGCCTCATGAACGAATCTCTCATGGTAGCCAGATGGCTTACAAAGAACCTCTGTCTTGGAAAAGTCAATGGCATGTGAGCCTACTGAATTATAACAATGATCTGCCACGGCCGAGGTGTTGTTCCTACCGTGTTTAAGGTCTGCTTTGTGTTCACGAATGCGGTCCGAGACATGGCGTTTGGTTTCTCCAATGTAACTACTACCACAGAGGCAACTTAGTTTGTAGACACCAGGGTATTGTATGTCCGGAATCACATCTTTTACAGACGGAACCAGATCACGGATTTTATGTAATGTGTTGAAACGGACCTGGATCTTGTGTTGAACACATGTTGAACACGTCAAGTGAAGCTGCATGAGAGCCAGGTATGTTGACGTACATAGTTTGAGATGTCCGAAGACTTTTTGGAAACCTTAATGGGCACCCATCCCACTTATATTTTTTAAGAATGCATAAAATTGTGACAGACAATTCTAAATGAGTCATTCTCAATCTACAAATGAATCCAGCCCCCCCCCCCCATGCCATGTCGGTCATCGGTTTGTTTACCATACTTGACGCTGGTTTAGTGCGGGTCGCTTCTGATATTACTTGCCACTGAGGTTAACCATGGCCATGATTCAAACTGGTTTTCTGGGTTCATAGCACAGTGCGCTAACCACTTTACCACAACTCCATAAAACAATGTGACAATTAATGGGGGGTCTGAGTCATGTATAAGCAATGTTGGACAACACTTCGAGTTAATTTAGAAACCATAGACAGTGACATGCAGTTTGAGCCAGAATTGGACATTTATTCCACTATTGTTTTTAAGAATTATAGGGTGATTGGGCTGGGGAGGGGGAATACATCGCATGAAGCAGTGCCTAGTTAGGCAAAATTGTTGATATCAATGCTCCAAAACCTTCACCGACATGCACTGGCCAGCATGGTGAAGTATGGTCAGATAGCCCTCACAACCTGTACGACTTGGGGAGGTCCTCATCCAAAAATGTATAGATCATAGCTGGTGATGATTATTATTACAATTGTTTACCCAGGGAAGTATTTATTGAGTCTCATGACTCAGTAGGGGCGATGATTGCTATGTATATTCCAATTGTGAAACTTTCAAGTAAGTTTTCACAATTGTACCATGACACCCGCACAAATCTAGATTGAAAACTATTTTTTTTTTTACAAATGCTTTTTGTGTTTAGTTAGTTGTCCTTCCCCCGCACCTCTGATTAGCACGGTTGGCCAGGTACGGTACAAAGGAAGTTCAAAATACAATATATAAAATGGCCTATGCTTGCGAATGATGTCGCATCTACTGTGAGATAGACGACGCCTACTTTTAAGGTCAATAAAACGAGAGTATTCAACAGGACGGACGCTGGCTTTGAACCGTGAGCCTCTGCAACATGGGACGAATGCGTCATTTCACCGTGAATATGATGATCACGATGGGAGCAAATAATGACTATAATTTATGTGTGTGGCCAACGACTCTTTCGTGAGTGAAAAGTATACAGTAGAGAATTGCACACCACAATGTTGTACAATGCTCATAAACTCTGGGAAGGTTGGCAGCAGGTGAGATTTACAAAGCGTCCATGTACTTGCCCAGAATGTAAATTTGTTCACTGTACAGTGATTGCGTAACGCATGACTGATTAATGTTTTAGCCGTCATTGTGCCAATTATTGCGTTATGACAGCAAGTGGCTTATCATGGTTAGCATGGGCCCTCATGCAATAAATTAAATAGGGCCCACTGGCCAAAGGGGCCAGGCTTCAAAGGGGAGCGTGGGGGGAGGGGGAATGGCCATTTGGCCACGGTGCAGTTGCATCAACCTACACACTTGATAGCTAGGCACGGCCATTTAACAATTCGTGAAGGGGTATATTCTATCATTGTTGCCTGTGATTTTAGATGGCCTAATTCAACCAGGCGGAGTGCTCAAATGGGGGTAGAGTCAGAGGTGGCCACGTGGCTCAGAGGCCAGAGTGCTGAGCGGGCACCGCTGAGCGCTAGGTTTGAATCCAGGCAATGGTTCGTGGTTACGCCACAGTAACTTCGATTCTGCACTTAATTTGGATAAATTCCATCTCTAAAATTTTGAAGTATCAATTTGACTGCTGTCATGTGATGAACATTACTATCTGTAGGCTGGTTGAAGGTGGCAGGGTGAGACCCAGGACAGATTCGCGCCACGGTGGCGGGATATTCACTACCTCACCTGGTATATAGGATGGTCGTGGGATCGATCCCGACCCTGACCCCTGTTGTATATTCGGAGTTTGTGTGTCTCCCTCCCCGTGGTTGTGTGGATTTTTATCCGGGTTCTCCGGGTTTCCCTTCACATTTAGAAACATGCGTTTAGAGTATTTGGCTGGTATAAATTTCCACATCATTAGCCACTTCGTTGAGCTATCGTATGTGGCCAGGTTGCTTCTGAAAAAGAGCTACATCGCTCAGTGGGCCTTCCTAGTAAAAAAATAATAGTTTAGTTTTCACTCCATTAATGTGAGACGTGGATGGGAATTAAACTCAAGTTGCCAGGTTAATAGCATTTTTTGCTGTCTACTGACCTACTCTATTGATTTTAATACAAATCATATTTCAATGTTCTATGAAGTGTTTAACCCTTCTCTCTTCCCACCCCCAATTCCACCCCATGGTTTGCAAATGGGAAAGTTGAATACAGGTACCATATATGCATAGGTGTAAGGGTGTGTATGTTCTGTATATATGTATATATATATTGTTCATGTGGTCTCCCCGTGGCTTGCGAGTCGTGGGGAGTATTTGCCCATGCCTCCACGTTGGTCAGTGCGAGTTGAAGATGTTGAGCCCTGACATATGATGCACTGCCCTCTGCTGCCCATCACTCAGCCCCACAGCATAGAACACCAAGCGCTATCCAGTCTCAGCACTGCTTAGCTTACATGAACCCGACGAGCGAGATCAGGCGCATTCTGGGTATAATTGCAAATAATTGTAACTTGCTGACCCGCCCATACTGGACATCTGTGGAAAAAGAGCTTCATAGCTCATCGGATTCTTCCAGTCTTTGTGAATATTCAGATGTCATTGCAGTTTCGTTTCGCAAATGTGTGCAAAGAGAAAACAAAAACATGAATGTTACAACTTAAGCGTCTATCTAAACAAATCCTAGGGTACCCTCTTTACCAACTCACACTGACCAGCACGGTGAAGTATTTAGTCCAGGGCTCGGCAACCAATGGAACAAACTCAATATTTCGAGAGCCGCAATGCACGCAAGTACGAAACGGTTTGTTCTTAATTTTAAAATACGTATAATGTCACGAGTCAGTCCTTAGTGAGAACCGCATGCGCCTCAGGATTTTCCAACCCCTGTACACAATTGGTCAAACCAACCCCTATGACTTTACAGGGTGTGGTGGTGGTGATGTCTTCAGGTGTGCCGGGTTCATAGAGCAGTGCGCTAACCGCTGCGTCACCCCCCCCCCACCACCAAAGACAAAGATCCCCCGTATAACCTGAACAGACTGTTGGGGCAAGTGCTGTTAGCGAGCACCTATAAAGGCCGGCACGGCACACGAGGGGTTGGGTTCAGTTTTCTTTATTTTTATTTTCATTTTCTTTATTTTGGTATAGCCCTGTGA